CTGAACCCCAAGCTCACCAATTTGGCTAGGCGGGCAGGCCAATAAGTTGCAGGGATCCACCTGCCTACATGCCCCACCCAAGGCTAGGGTTACAGGCACATGCCAAGTTCAGGCTTTTATGTGGTCTGGGGATCTAAGGTCAGGCCCTTGTGTTTGTGTGGCAGGCACTTTACTTGACTGTGCCACCTCCCCAGTCCATTACCTCCTTTTCTACTGGTTTATAACATCCATATTTATTGACTTTTATTTGGGACACCAAGAGACATCATGTTAATTGACCACTGATAAATAAATCTTTTTACAAGTGTTCTAATTCTTGGGTACAGATCGCCCTTCATATCCATGGATTCTACACTTGCAGATACAGTTGACCACTGACCCAAAATGCTGGTAGAACAGTGCACCCCTACTGGGCATGATACAAGCTTTTCTCTTGTCATTATTCCCTAAACAATACAGTGTGGCAACTACATGCACAGCACATGTACTGTATCAGGTATGATAAGTAATCTCAAGGTGATATGAAGCACACAGGAAAATGCTCACAAGCTAAATATAAATACTGTATTGTTTCCTCTGAGAGACTCAAGGATCTGTGCATTCTGGTGTTTGCAGAGCTCTGAGAACCAATCCCCCAAACTCTGGGAGACCTGTACTGTTGTTTTCTGTTATAGAAAACTAATCTATTTAGGCTACCTTTTCTAACTTTTTTAAATGCTGAGCATCTTGTCCCCGTACTTCCTTGCCCACACTGATGGAATCTTCTAAGAACCTAAGTTGTGTCAGCTGTAAATTCATGACTCAGTAGCCCTTGGGGCTCAGTGGAGAGCAGCCACTGCCACAGAGGGGCCTGAAGTCAACTTTACAACCTCATCAGGATGAGGGAGATGATTTCTGAGTTTGGTGAATCCAGGAAGCATCCCTGCTTGCAATACAACATCTCTCTGATGGAGGTGATGTGGCTGTGCCCAGTCCCCCAGCATGTTACTATTATTGACATGTCCAAGAAGGTCCCACCAGGGGAAACTGTTGGTGTGGTCTCTCTTGTCTTCAGAGGGCAGATTCTGCTGGTGGAAGGGAATCCAAGTATCAGTGGTATTTCTTAACTATTTTGGAATCTTCCAATTTAAAGCAAGTGAAGATCCAGCTTGTATCTTGTGCATTAACTTCCTATGACATTACCCTAATCTTGTAATGAGAGGAGTTGAGGTCCAGACTCAATGCTGTGGGGTTTTTGGTTTTTCTCTTTCCTGCCTTTTTTTTCTTTTTTCTTTTTTTTTTTTTTTTTTTTTTAGACAGGGTCTCCCTGTAGCCCCAGCTGGCCTGGAACTCACTATGTAGACCAAGCTGGCCTTGAACTCGCAGACAGAGATCCACCTGCCTGTCTCCCAAGTGCTGGGATTAAAGGTATGCACCACCACGCCTGGCTCAATGCTATGTTTTTAATATGACAGTATTTATGTGCTTACATCAGATTATAGGGAAGAAGACATGGGCTAGAAACAGCCTTCCAATTGCCACCTCCCTTAGATTTAAGCTTCAAATACCACAGATTATACACTGTGGAGTAAAATCACAAAGAAGAGGCACAAGTGCTGCTGAAGGAGGGCCAGGAAAGTGGGAAAGAGAGTGACATGGACTGGGTGAGGAAAAGAGAGAAAACCTTCCAGAGAAAACCCCCGGGTTGCATCCAGTCTTCAGCATCAAACAGGACTGAGGGTACCGTGAAGGGATTCATCTTCTAATTCCACCTTCTCTACTGCTATTTCACTGTCGCTTCTCTCCTCACCATGAAGTGCTACTAAGTACTCACACCTCTTTGGGTATACTGGATTGAGGGGTCTCTTATCCGGGGCTCCATGAAGAAAAAGGAAAGCAGATAGCAGTTGTGAGAGCAGAGCTTGCCTGTCCTTGAAATATGGCAGGGATGGGATGGGTCCTAAAGGAACAAAGGCAGAGGGTGTAGCACCTATGTCCCCCTCAGGTCTCAGCAGGCTCTACCTTATGGAGCCCACCCTGACTGGGTTTTCTAGGTGCTAAAGTTCTCTGGGCCCCAGAGATCTGAGGAATTCTGTGTGGTTCTGTCTGGAGTTCCTTCAGAGAGGTTCCGACTGATATTCTCTCAGCATTCAGCCCACATACTCTCATTTTGCTTGTATGTTGTAAAATAGGGAAGATGAAGACTCATCTGTTGAGGAAATACAAAGCCAGTTAAAGATCATGGGGAGCCCATTCAGGGAACTCAGCCACAGAGGAAGACCAAGGTGGATATTTAGAAGTCAGGAGAGACCTTTAATAAAACCCACAGTGAGTACTCTCAAGATCAGCCCAGCGCACACACAAGACTCTGTGGGGGTGCAGTATGGGGTCACTGGATCTGACCTTTGTAACTTCATACAACTAAACACATGTCACAGAGAAGCCAAGACGACTGATGGAAGGATGGGTGGAGCTATGTTATTAAAGCCTACTTGATGAAAAACCATTACAACAAAAATTGTACACCATGGTCCCAAGAATAAGGACATAGGCTCCACAAATAAATCTGAGGTGGGGTGGTGACTTAGCAACAGTGTTGGCATGATGGACAACCCACTTAGAGAAGAAGGAGAACAAAAACGAAAAGCCTCTTCCTTATACCATGTGTAGAATGAGCTTCTGCTATCTTAAAAGAACATAAAAGAAGTATATCCAGAGGCTGCAGAGATGGCTCAGCGGTTAGGAGCACTGGCTGCTCTTGCATAAGTCTTGGGTTGGATTCCCAACACCCACATAATGGCTAAAAATTGTCCATAACTCTAGTTCCAGGAGACTCTGACGCCCTCTTCTGACCTCTGAAGGCACTGCAGGACACAGGTGAGTTTGCATACATGCAGGCAGTACACTCATACACAAAAAGTAAAAATAATATTTTCACAAAAAGGAAGTATATCTAGACTCTGGCCTAAAAATACCATTGTATCTATCCCACAGAAAAAAATATTAGCAGAGTATATGATGTAGATGTAAGGACGTTTACTATCATTTGGGCAGAGGTAAAAATAAAGCAAAACACAATACATCAGCATGAAGATCTCTCCAGAGGAAAATAGCTAAGTAATCATATGTGTGTGTGTGTGTGTGTGTGTGTGTGTTGTGTACATATGTATGTAAGCATGTGTGTTGGTATATACACACATACATGTATGTCTCTGCTATCAAATATTTAGATACTTTATTAAAAAGACTCAATTAAATCTATAGCTACCTGGAAAGATATTTAAGATAATGTCAATGTAGGGAGTTAGGAGGCAGATTAACATATACAGTATGCCTGTTTTATTAAAAATATGCTAGTAACTAGGATAATGTTATATGCAGGAGTGCTCCAACCCTGGCCTCCTTACCCTTATTCTCATCACTTTCATACAATACACTGTGAACACTGGTGGGAAGAGGATTTGGTCACCTTGTCTGAGAAAGGGTTGCTGGTCTGAAAACAGACAACCATTGGCATGTCACATAATACAGTTTTGTATTTTTTTACTGGTTATAATGAAGATGGATTACTTTTATAATCTTTTAAAAAGGAACATATTTTGGACATGGAGCAAATACATGCAGCTGCACAGGAAAAGCTACTGCTTTTAACTGGTGTATTTGGGTACTCATAGCCAGCATCACCTTCCACATCACCTTCCCTGATCTAGTAGAAATGGTGTTTTAAGATTCTCAACTGAATAAAACAGACAAAGAACATGCCAAATCAAAATCAGCAGAAGAGGAGAATTATATCTCAGACACAGCACACCAGCTTCATATTTGCCATTGACCCAGGAGTTCAAATCATAAATCTGCTTCCATCACAAATAATCTGGGATCTGAAGTATTTGTATTGCTTTTCTTGGTTCCACAGGATGGTAGCATGGCAGATAATTGCTTCTTTAAAACCCTTTCAATGCTCCTAATCCCAGAGAGAAATTCTGATTCTGAATATTATCTGAATGTAAGGTCAAAGCCATCTGTGCAGTGTTTATAAAAGAACAGGCCAGTGGACAAGCTGACAAGACAAGAGAAAGCCAAGAAGAATGGAGATACATCTGCAGAACAGCCACTTTCTCTAAAACTGCATGCGAAGGCTGCAGGCACAACTCAGTGGCAGAGTGAACACCTAGTATGACAAGGCCCTGGATTTTGCCATGAAAGAACACATGCACGCACACATGGACACACATGAACAAACTGTACATTTGATTAAGAAAATAGAAGCACAAAGTACTTGTAGAAATGTGGTATTTTGTTCCTTGGGTCTAAATACAGTTTATACAGGTTTGGCTTTCTTGGGAGCCTAAACTGACACATATGCATGTAAGCATGTAATTATATACAACAGCATCATGAACGGTGTATGACTTATTACATCCCAACAGTGATGGTGGGAAACATAGATGGGAAACATGGATGTATGTAATAAATGAAAACACCCCACATGTGCAAGTTCACAGTTCCTAAAATTATATACTCCCTCTTAAAAGGGGAAAGTTGCTTTTCTGAGGCTCTCTTCATGGCTAACATTTCATCTTCAGAGGTAAGTGTCTTCTAACAGGCATAAGATAGATATAGTAACTCAGGTAGTATTAAAAGGCAAATAAGAAAATAAACAATTTAATATCATACTGAGCCAAAGCTCATCAATGGTCTAAATTCTCACCTGACCCAGGGGGCCTACAATGTATTCTTTGGAATGCAGTTATCACAAAGCTTCCCAGAGAAATGAAGGACATTTCCTCTTTGCCTACCACACCAGATCCCCACTGGCAGCCTAGTGCCTCCTTATGTAGGTCACTTTCACAGTCCCGAATCTGAGTTCATCCCAGACTCTTTGGAGACAAGAGTATGCAATCTGGGAACATTTACTTCAACTATAGCCCCACTAGCAGAGCTTTGAGAAAGCTCCAGTGAATGGACCTGACAGTCCCTGAGGGCTCCCCAGTGTGTCCCAGGAGAGAGGACCAAGGTACCCGGCATATCTCCACTCTGTTGGCAGCCTCTTCCATCTCTTCCCTGAGGGCATCAGCTTTGGCACCCGCAGGCTGAAGGCTGCTGGACAGCCCCGAAGACTTGGAAGTCTGCTGCCACCTGATGGAAAACAGGAGAAAAAGAGAACAGACATGAGACGGTAGAGCCCTGGGGATACAGTGGACTGCTGAGAAAATACCTGCAAGTATTACTCAGGGTACCACACACATACTAGAAGGGGGCTCATGTTTCCACAGTGTCATGGCTCAGTGATGCTGAGGACCAGGCAACCCTCACCCCACCCCAATAGGACAAGCATCCTCCAGTTAGCCACCATGCCCTCTGTTACCTTCCACATGCTAAAATCAAACGATCGCCACCACTGCTGTCCTATTTTCATTAATGTTATGTTTCACTGACAAACCCCAGTTGTTCACATTTATGGAGCACAGTATGACTTGCTGCTATCTGTACAACGTGGCATGATTAAATCAAGCTAATTAACACACCCATCGTACCACTTATTTTGGCCACGAGATACTTGAAATTTAATCAGACTCACTGTAGCTAATAACAATGCAGTCCATATTTCAAAGTAACTACTGCTGCCTTTTTAGCACAGTCTCTATTAATTAAGTTCCTCATGGGCACCTGAGTTTGGAACTGCGCCTACTTGGACGAAGTCCATAAAGGATGCCAGGTGAAAGGGAACATTAACATTAAATGCAAATCTGAAGGCAAAAATCTCCACTGATAAGCATGGAAAAGTGTCATATAAACATTTAGTCACATTTGTATTTCCACAAAAATTTATCTTTGCAGAGAGACACCTGCCCTTCCGAGGAAGCTTTCAGAAAACTTTTAGGGAGAAAAGCTGAAACTTCTGGTTGCTGAGTCATCATCGGGGGGTGACCAGAATAGTCCTGCTAAAGAGCAGGGCTCAGCAGTGCTCATCTTCAGTAGGGTCTGAGAACTCAATGGCTCATGGAGACCAGGAGGTAGGAGAAGCAACAGGTTGTTATCCCTAGTCCACCAGATCTCTTATCTTCTACTTGTCTGGAGATACAGAGCTATTCTAGATTGTAAGAAGCGCAACAGGGCAATCTGGATGATAAACGATAACATGCAGCCAAGCCTTACTCCATCCCTGGGAAGTTAGGAGGGAGGAGGAAGGGTTGGGGAACTCGATGGGGGACTTCCCTGCTTGCCTAAGATGGACTGATGGAGCCCAGGTAGGAATGTGGGTCAGGAGCTGCCAGGTACTTCAACTGACAAGAGAACCGAATCATTTTCCTGGGAACTTCCATGATGAAATATGGAAGAGATGAAAGTTTCTTTTAAATACCTTGTAAGCCAATAATTCATAGACCAAAAAAGGAAGCTCTGTGGCCTTGATCTGCCTCCCACCTGCATCCTCAGACCATGTCTGTAGTCTGCAACTGAGGTGCAAAACCAGAACAACACCCTCCCCCCCAATCTTGAGTCAAAAATCTAACCAGGGGTTGGAGAAATGGCTCAGTGGTTAAGAGCACTGGTTACTCTTGCAGAGAATATAGGTTCAGTTACTAACACCCACACGGCAGCTAATAACCATCTGTAACTCTAGGTCTAGGTGATATGATGCCCTCTTCTGGCCTCTGTGTGGACTGTACATGAGTGCACTTATATACATGCAGACAAAACATGTAAAATGAAAATCAAGTTTTAAAGTAAAAAATGAAATAAAATAATCTAACTAGCAGCTACTACCTAGTAGCTCTACTCAGTTTTTCTTCCCCCTTTTGTTATCTGCAGGAAAAACAGAAGAAGACAGGGCTATCTGGTACAAGAGGAATTAGAGACGTCTTCCTTAATAGCAGAAAGCAGTGAAATAAAGAAATCTCTCAGACTTTCAGAATACAACATAGTAAAATCCTTATTTAAAGGCTCTGGGACACTGAGCTGCTTAGAGGTCACAGGAAGTGACATATGCCCTGGCAAAGACTCTGATTCCAAGATAAGAATTAGGGAAAATTAGAAAAGAGATATTCTATTCAAAGTGATTTTAAAAATCTAGGCTGAAATAAGCTAGCAGAAAATGATTAATAAGAATCCCAGAGTGGTTCTTTCTTATAAACGCCGAATCTACACAAATGACATCGTTGACTGAAACCTCCCAGAGTTGCTTTAAATAAAGCATTAGAGAACTATGGGATGGGGTAAACAAAATATGAGGGGCCACAGCTGTAATCTGTATGAGACAGTAAATATACCTCCATGAAGATTACAGATCAAGATACAGCCACTATCTGACCATACCACCTGAAGAAAAACAACTGACTAATAGGTGTTTTTTTAAAAAAGTGTGTTGAGGGGCTGGAGAGGCAACTCAGTGGTTATGAGCACTAGCTGCTCTTGCAGAGAACCTGGGTTCAGTTCCAGTACCAACATGGTGGTGAGACCTCACTTTCTAGCTTACAGGTGGTGATGTCACTGCCCTCTGAGTGAATGAGAGAGAGTTTTCTCTTCTTTTCATAAGGCCAGCAATCATACCAAACCAGGGCTGTACTCCCCCCACTATGTGTAAGCTTCATTACCTTCTAAAGATCCCATCTTCAAGTATAGCTACAGGTCAGAGAGTCAGCAGAGGAATGCTGAGAGTGTCCAGTTCCCTCTCCAAGACCTAATGGCAGCTGATTAGCAAGACAGCATGTGGCCTGCACTCTGGAGGGTTAAGTTTGAGATCCATGTTCACAATAATGTGAGAAGGGGGATAGAGAGATGGTTCAGAGTATCAGAGCACTGGCTGTTCTTGTAGAGGACTTGGGTATATTTCCCAGCACCATGTGGCAGCTAGCAACCATCTGTAACTCTAGTTCCAAGAAGTCCAATGCCTTCTTCTGACCTCTATGGGCATTGCATGAAATGGGCACATTTACATACATGCAGGCAAAACACTCATACATAAAAATACACTGGCTGCTCTTGCAGAGGACCTGAGTTCAGTTCCCAGTACCTACATGGCAACTAACAATCATCCATAACTTGAGTTCTAGGGACTCCAACACCTTCTTCTGACCTCCACAAGCACTGCATGGCATGAGTACACTTACATACATTCAGGCAATATACTCATACACATAAAATTAATATATTTAAAAAAATTTTTAAAAATAACCCCCCCTGCCAAAAAAAAGTGAGGTGGCTTTGGGAAAGAATGGATCAACTTCTTTAACTACTGCCTAGTCAAACCTGTATGAAGAACAACAATTTTGCCCTATTCTTGTGAATCTGACTGACAAGCTTGAACTTGTGGTAATATTTTCAGTTTTCTTGAGGTTACCTCTATTCTGCCCATCCATAATCTTTTGTTCATCTTTTTGGTGTTTTGTTTTGTTTTAAGACATGGTCTTACCATGTAGCCCTGACTGGCCTGGAACTCATGATGCAAACTAGGCTGGCCTCCAGCTCACAGAGATTCATCTGCCTCTGTGTCCCAAGCACCTGGATTAAAGGTATGCACCGTCACTCCTGGCTTCCTTTATTCACCTTCTAAGCATCGGTTTTCTCTTGGGATGTTTAGGTCTATTTCATTGACTTGAAGCAGACAAGGCAGATTTACTTGAGTGGTGACAAATGTATGCATTTGATTCAGCCCTCATTAAACACCAAATAAATAAGCTAAATTTGACAGCTTTTTGCCTAGAGTTGTGCTGGAATTCAGAGATCCAGTTATGGAAATATTGATCAAGATGTGCTGATGATAGCTTAAAAAAGACTTTGTAGGGTCTCCCTGTGGAAATGCTGTTCCTAAAGCTCATGAGCAGCAGACAACACTGAAGAGAGCCTTGAAGGCCAGAAGCAGATCACCATAAGCATGAGAGCCTAAGAAATGCAGATGGCCGAATGGAGAAGCAGGGTGTGCAGAGGGCACTGAGAACCCACTGTCCCAGGAGAGTAGTGTGAGATCCCTGCTGTTCAATATGGCTCTGGAATTCAGTGTGAACTTCACTGCTGTATCTTGAGAGATGCTCCTCACGCTGACTAACACTGCAGTGTTAAGGGAAATGGCAGGAAGCAGGGGTGGGTAGGCTGCTCATGTGGCTTTCAGAAAAGTCCCACAAGACAGATAAAACCAGGCTGGACATGGTCACTCAGAATCAAATGAGAGCAAGAACCTTGGCTAAGAATGTTGCTTTCACCCTGAAGTGTCCAGCACCTGAATTAACTGGAGAATCCATAATTGAGGGTTTGGGTTGGACTTCACACCAGTTACTAAAGCAGGGGCATGAAGGAAAGCCAGATGAGAGTTTGAGGGGGTCCCTGTCCACACATTCACAACTAAACAGAGCAGGCTATAAAAAGCCTAGACCAATGTAATTAAAAAGAGTGCTTGCATTTATATGAAGGTATTCTAAAAGGTTATCTTTAGCTTTAAAAAACAAAACCTGCAAAGTTTCCTGTGTTTGTACAGTTGGTCCCCAGCTGGTGGTGCTATTTGGGAGGTTGTGGAACTTTTAGACTTGGGGCCTAGCTGACAGAAGTGGGACTGTAGAGGTGGGGATTGAAGTTTATGCTGGCCCTGCTCTTAGCCAAGCTCTGCTTCTTGGCTAGCATGTGATGGAACCAGCTGCCTCAAGGTTCTCACTCTCTCAACTGCAAACCATTCCAGCTGCCATGCTTTCTCCACTGTGATGGTCTGTATTCCATGAACTGTGAGGCAAAATAAATCGTCGTTTCTGCAGGTAGCATACCCATGACAAGTGAAAAGAAAATTAACATAGGGTCTAAGTTGCAATTTGTAAGCACAGAAAATTAGAATAGGGAAGTTAGTGAATTTTATTTTATTTTATTTTATTTTTGTCTTTTTGAGACAAGGTCTCCCTATAGCCCCAGCTAGCCTGGAACTCATTATGTAGACCAGGCTGGCCTCAAACTCACAGAGATCCACCTGCCTCTGCCTCCCAAGGTCAAGGATTACAGGTATGCACCACCACGCCTGGCTAGTTAGTGAATTCTTTAGCAGATCAGAATATACAAGACATGGTAATCTGAAGATAAGAAAATGTTTAATCATGGACGGCTCCACTGATGCTTCCCTGAGCTTTCTGAACCTACATGTTTGGTGTCACCATTAAACACAACACTAGACAAGACCAGCCATGGCCATGACTCTGTGGTTACTCTCTTTCTCATAAAAGGACCAAACAAAACTATGTGAGATGACAGTGACATGCTCTCACATGAATATATATAGTCCTCTGATCCAAAACTCTATGCTGGAAATTCAGATTTTCCTTGTAGAGGCAAAGAAGGCCCCAGAGCAATGAGCCAGATTTTTACAGAAGGAAATGAGTCCCAAACTCAGGAACATGGTGTCCATCTCATCACAGAAAGGAGCGATTGGTGCTGCTTCAGTCAGCATTAGCTTTCGTGGCTCAAACAGTAAGGCACCTGCACACTGGTGTTGTGGGATACAGTTTTATTTAGGCATTGTGGTAACAGTAAACTGAAACTCCCAATTCACCCTGCTGTCTGCTCCTCTCTATACACAGAGATGCTGTTGGAGCTGCATCTGGCTAATGTCAGCACCACTCCAATGCCTCCTCCTCTTCCTAAAAAATGGAGGAGAGTTTTGTGTGGCAGCCTTCCACAGTCAATACAAGCATAGATTCAGTAACACTGGCTTTGCTTGTTAGCCACTTACTTTTAAGCTAATCTGATATTTGTAGAAAATGGTACTACTTTCCAATTTATGGTATCACAGACCCATCTCTCGAGCCTAGTAATCAGCTCTGAAAAGACGTACAGATACAAATGACAAAAATCATTCAGGTGGGGGACTGGATAGATGGCTCTGCAGTCAAGAGCTCTTGCTGCCCTTGCAGAGGACTGGGGTCCAGTTCCCAGAACCCAATGGCAGCTAACAACCATCAGTGATTCCAGTTCCAGGGGATGAGAGCCCCTCTTCTGGCCTCCACGGGCATTGCATGCACACGGTACACTTAAGCACATGCAGGAAAAACACTCATACACATAAAATAAAAATAAAAAAAGCCAGGCGTGGTGGCACACACCTTTAATCCCAGCACTCGGGAGGCAGAGGCAGGTGGATCTCTGTGAGTTCAAGGCCAGCCTGGTCTACATAATGAGTTTCAGGACAGCTGGGGCTACAGGGAGACCCTGTCTCAAAAAGCAAAACAAACAAACAAACCCCAATATTCACACTTTTTTTTCCAGGGTCCCAGCACTTGGGAGGCAGAGGCAGGCGGATCTCTGTGAGTTCAAGGCCAGCCTGGTCTACATAATGAGTTTCAGGACAGCTGGGGCTACAGGGAGACCCTGTCTCAAAAAGACCAAACTTAACTAATTAATTAATATTAATTAAAAAATCATAGTTTGAGCTAGATTAGCTTAACTAATGAAACTTGTTTCTGTGCTGATTTAACCTGTTCTGTACCGGGTCGTGGGGATGCTGGCATACACCTGCTATTCTTCCAGCTGTACAAGTCCTCCCAGTGCACCAGCATTTACAGTATGGGATTCCTGTTGAAAAGCACTTGGGGGATCTTACTTGATCTTACTTGATACTCAAATGACCTCTTCAGATGATGACCACTGTTACCTTGTATATAGGTGAGAAAACATGAAAGTTAAGTGACTCAGTCAAGGTCACAGGTCTGCAAAGCAGCAGATCTGGATCTTGGTTCCTGACCTCTGAATCCCATCCATGGGGATCAATCCCAAATCTCTCTGCCTAAAAGCATTCTAGTTTTGTTTCTTTATTTCAAGGAAATTAAAATAAGACATGGAGATGCTTAAGGCTGACCTATAAAGGAACTAAAGTAAATGCAGTTTCTTCCATACCAATACGCATGAATTTTCATTCTTTCAATTTAGGGAACATGTGTGCACACACGCATATTCGTGCACACATATTCATGCAAATATGTACCATCTATACAAGTCAATGTCTCCAGAAGTCAATGTCACCTCAGGGCACCACCCTGCTGAGACAGGAAGTTTGTAGACTGTGAGTGGCAGGTGCAGAACAGCTTTGTAGCTCCTTCAGTCCTCTCAGAAGGGCCTCAACTTCACAGAAGGGCTCCAATAGGGAACCTTGATACCATCCACTTCAGGAGGTAAGCACATCCCCAAAATTAGAATTATTTCCCTTGCTGCAGATGTACACATCATCTGTCCTACCTCTTGGGTCCCATCTGCTACAATTCCCACCCTTGGGCCTCTCCTCCAAACCAGGCACCTTCTTCCTGGTATCCTGAGTATGGCCTCTTAGGGCCTGTCTACTTGCTGTCTCTCTGCTCAGACAGTTTGTACCACATCTTTGCACAGCTGCCTTTCTTATCATTTAAGACTCAGACCAAGTGACACCTCTCAAGAAAGCACTCTCTGTTTTGCCACATCTGATGCTGATGCTTCATCATTCCTTTCCAAAATTACCCTGTGCTATCCTTAAATGTATGGCTCCCTGAGGCTGTCCTCTTGCCCAGTATCTGCCTCCAAAATTCAACTGCAGCCTCCAGAAAAGCAAGGGACTTATATTTCTGGTCATTGCTGTTACCTCCAGTGCTTGGCACACAGAAGGTGTTAAGAAAAACTTCATGAATGGGAACACACCCCCCCACACACACAAACCTGCCTCCATCCCCAAATGTTGTAGTTCTGCAAATGAAGCTAAAAAAGAAGCAAAGGAACTCTACCTGGTCCGTGAAGAATCCATGTCCAGCACCAGCTTTGCTAAATGTTTCCTCTGCTTTTGAATATTTGGGATTTCCACCTACGGTTCCAGAAGATGAGAGAGACAGTCAAATTCAAGGTCAAGGCTAAAACTATAAGAACCAGGATCTGGAAGTACTGACAGCCAACTTCCAAGTATGCTACAGGCCTCCTAGTCCTTATTTTCAGACCAGAACATTTTCCCTTTTGTCAATGCCTTGGATCTAATAATTAACAAATAGAAACCGTATATGCTGTAAGTGCAAACCTTGATGCCAAGCTAGTGAACTTGCCACTTTATCTTGTACAGCTACTGTTTTAATTTGTGTGTGTGTGCGTGTGTGTGCATATGTGTTAAAAGTCACATAAAATCCATGCCCATAACAAATTTCAAGGATGCAATCTACACGCATGAAAGTTTATACCCTTTGACCAGCATCAGATGGAGTACTTGATTCCTTCCCTGAGCTACACCTGTTCTCTCTTCCCCAACATGCAGCATCACCTAGGACCAGCTCAGTGTTCTGTGCAACCCTGCTCACCTAGGCCTGGCCACATTCCTATCCTTACCCTAGCCCCCTTCCCCCACCCCCCAAAAAGTAGACTCAATCACTTCCTTATCTGCTTCCACAGGGGAAAAGCAGGAGGAAGGAGGGAAGCCTGTCAGGTGAAGACAGGTCTAACTCAACTGAACAGCAGAGCAGGGGGGACCCTGGCTCAGCAGACCTGAGACTCCCAGGAATGCCAACAGGACATAGTTTGTATTTATAGAAGCAGCAGGCATGTCAGCACACTTGTAGAAGTAAGGTCATTTCCCACGGTCAGCAGTGAGCAAGCTCAGCAACGACTCCCTCCATTTTGGTTGCACGTGGATGCTCTTTTCATATTTTTCTTTCTAAAAATGACTTCCTTGAAGATTCCACTGCAGGATTTTGGTTTCAGGCCCAGCAAAAGTAGGGCAGGATGTGAGAATTAAAAAGGGAAATTGGCCATAAATTGAACTAAAATCATCTCAGGCTGTGGTTTTTTTCTATGAGGGGGAAATGCGAGGAAAACCCAGTGTCTATGAGGCATTTTCTGCTCACTCTGCTAAACCAGGGCTGAATAAGGCACCAAGTGCAAAGACTCCTCCGACAGGAAGAAATGCCGCCAGAATCTGCTGAGCCTGGAGGCAGGGCTGGGGAGTCACGAGTACTGTTCAAATCTTAGCAACGGGGTCTGGGTGCTTCTAAGTCAGTCTTCTGGGGTTTTCAGGCTTTGACTGAGCCCCAGTAATCCCATGAGAAGCAAGTGCCTCTCTTGAGTGGTCCTGACTAAGGAAAGACCTGAATGAGGGCAATGATTGATTCCATCCACAGATGGTGTCTGATAAGCCTATAGCTGCTCTATGCTGTGCCATTTCAAAGCACCATACTGATTTGTTTTTTGATCATCTTTAGGTACATAAATAATTATTTTTTCAAACCTCTGTCCTCAAGAGAGTACAAAGAGATGAGAAGGTGATCTGGAGATGAAACCAGATATGGTCTAGGGTAACACTGCAAAGCCTCTAGTCACATGGGATTATCTAACTTAAAATTTAAATTAGTAAAAACTAGCTAGAATTAAAAACTGAGTTTCCAAGTCACACTAATAACCACATTCCACGTGTATCATGCTCATGTAAGGCTAGGAGCTGCCAAACTGCACACTCTCCATCATTGTAGGGAGCTGTCATGTGGTAGACATGTTAGGTTGTGTATGGCCAATGAAAAACAACAGGGAGGTCCATAGTTGGAGGTCCATAAAGACCTCTGTCACATAAAGACAGTCACTTCCTGTCTCTCTTGATAAAGCTGCACTTGGTGGGAACTAGCACAACTGTCACAGACATTAAGATAGCTTTTTAATAAAATAGTTTGATTTAGCATCTTTTAAATCCAGAGGAAAGAATTACAGAGCCATCAACCACAAGAAGCCCTTGGACCAGGTCCCTGGACTCCTTCCACTGGGCACTGAAGACTTGAGATGGGTGGGGGCCTGGGGTGCTGGGAGGGGAAGCAGGAGTGATGGCAGTTGGGTTTGGGGATCGAGAAGGAAGTAACACATCTGGCTTCATGTCATCATCCATTAGAATGCCATCAGAGACCGGATGAGAGGCGGCAGTAAGCAGCTGGAAGGGGCCGCCATATTTGGGAATCTTGACCATGGTGTGGTGGTAATGCTTCCTGATGGAAAACAAGGTCAGAGAGCAACTCCTACCTCAGCCAGCAGAAACAGGGGTTCAATCACGTCCCTCTCTACTTGCAGCTCAAAGTGTATCAGCTCCTGGGCCAGCTTGTCCTCCGTCTCTCCACAGAGTTTTAGCATCTTCCTGCAATCAAAGGAGGAAAGGCAGGCTGAATATACTGTATGACCACTGTGCCCAAGCTACACTCCATCACCTCCTGGCTTGTGAACTTTCCCAAGTCGGTGTTGACAGCTGCCTGACTGCTGTGGCTGCCAGTGGCCAAGCTGCTTCCACTGCTTCCATGTCAGAAATGATCACCTACTCCAAACAGAGCCAAATGTTTACCATGTGCCTGGGACAACAGGGCACATGGAAAAATATAATAAATGTGGAGGGAATAGACTCACACGTGCTACATGCCCAATCCACAGACGGAAGGACTCAGCTGCTTCAGTCTCTCCTCTGAGAGCCCTAGAGAGGTCGTCTAAGATGGATCCACTAACACAACACCACCGTCAAACAAATACCCAATGCCCAATTCTGATGGGTATTCACAGAAGAGAAGTCATACTCCTAAGCTATTAAACTTAATTAGTACAGGATGAGTAGATAGGCTATGCCATGGAAAAAGCCAGAAAACCATCCCACAAGTTGCTCAATATTGACCACATGGCAGAAGGACATTATGAGCAGGAAGTGAGTCCATACTTCTGAGAGAACAAACTATTTCTAAGATGTCAAATTTCACCCAGTGGCTATGTTCCCTTTACGTGGTATCATGTTAACTGAAACTCATGTAAGTTTTTAAAAAGCCAAAAAAGTATAAGCAATGCAACTTACTCTCAACTTAATATAGTATTTCTCTATTTAATGTGTTCACATATAACACATAACACTACTGTTTGGTTAAAAAAGTTTCCACCACTGGTTTTATAATTAACTTATACAAACTGCTTTTGTATAACAGTGTCTTTTATCTGATTTTCTGTTCCTTCCGCCCTTATTTCTAATGCTACTTCTTAGTTTTAAAGTGCCTTTAATCCGCAAACTTGGGAGCAAAGGCAGACAGATCTCTGTGAGACTTAGGCCAGCCTGGTCTACACAGGGAGTTTCAGGCCAGGAGGGGCTATACAGGGAGACCCTGTCTCAAAACAACAACAAAGAATTTAAGCATTAGCAATTGACCTTCTAATTATGAAAAATGAGAATTTAAATTGTGTTTATTTCCAGACTCTCCATTTGTTTAAACTAGTAGATGGTCAGAATTGTATTTTGACTATATATTATAACCTGTTCATTCTTATGCTTTGAGACATTTCAGATTTAAGATTCTTGGATAAAGGATGCTGAACTAATAAAGTCTGTGTGATTATTCTAAAAATACAAAAGAATCCAAACTAATAAGTGTCTGGTCTCAAGCATTTGAGCTAGGGGATCTACCTCATGTGGAGCTGAACTGCACAGCTTACAGCTGGTACCTTAGAAGCACTGGACTGCCCTGCACGTTCATTTGTTCTCCCTGGAGTTAGACAACACATTTCAGAGTGCTCATTTCACTTTCTATGTACCTGACCAAGCCCCAAACACCCAGCCACCTTCCTAATTCATTTAGGATACTGAATGCATTTGATGCGATTTAACGCCACCTTTGTGACTGCATCGCCCCTGAACCTGTGCCAGCCTGGAATGAGTCTCCTCTTAGTTCCTATGTCACAGCTGTCTTCTAGGGGTCTTTCGTCAGTATTTCCAGGATTCCTCTCCCTCTGTCCTGTGTCTACTATCTCTTTCTCACTCACTCCCTCACCAAGAAGCACATCCTGCTTTACCTTCCTTAGAAGTGTGCAAGAAGACAGGGTTTAAGGCCACGAGGCAAAAACATTCCTCTCCACGGTCCCATGGACTGAGCCTTGGACAGACACTGAGCAGTGTGGCTTTCTGGTTTTGAAGGTGCTGCTTTAATCTGATAGCTTTCTTTGCTGCTTCTGGTGACTCTTGTTCTTTATTATAGCACAACACCTCTTTCTAGAAGGTTCTGTAATCTGCCAACAGTGTTCATGATGCTAAGCCTCACCCTGTGGTTAATTTTTCCCACTGTTCTGAGAGCTTACCACATTTCTGTTAGAAAGTTAGAAACTCAGGTCCTTCCATCTGGAAAAAAATGCTTTGGGATTATTTTTCTTTATAACTCATAATTTCTTCTTCTTTTCCTAAAGTCCCTGCTGTTTAGAATGACTTCCAGGATTGGTCCTCTAATTTTCCAGTTTCTTCTATCTGCCAGGCCTTTGTCTTTGTACTGGATTTTCCAGATGATTTCCCCCAAATCATCTTCTACTGAGAATTTTATATCTACTGTCATTTCATTTTGCATTTCTATGAATTTGTTTTTGATATTGGAATGTTCCAGCCCTGTAAACATTTTGTACCAATATCCTTGTTTATTGCATGGATGCACCTCTTCTTTTACTACCTGAAAAGATAATTGACAGTTTACCTAAAATCCCTGCCCCCCCCATACCCCCATGTCTTCTAAATTGCATTTCTTCTCGTTTACTGACTGAGGTTAAAGACTTCCCTCAGATGCCCAGTGGCACGTGATATCTGCCCTTTGCAAGCTCAGAGCATGAGAGGGAGGTCTGCTATCTGTGAGCATGCCAAGATGGGCTGGCTGAGCTATGGGCACGGGCCCTCTCTAATGTCCTCAGAGCCTTAAGTTGTTCTTCTGAGGTATCTCAGATCCCCAAAGAAGACTCCGCTTTCTTCCCAGAAGGAGTAAAGCCTGGGGGTCCTGTGGGTACAGAGAAAGGCTGAGGAGCATCATATCTGATAAGCATATGTACTCTTGATGTGGTTTTAGGCCTTGAAGCTAGGGTAGGACCATTGTTTGATGTTCTCCCTTACCAGCCCATGTAGTGCTCTCCAAAGCCATGAGATCTAGTCTTCAGGGGAAGTGGCTTCCAGGTCACTTCCAGCTCTCTTGCTTCAAATCCTGTATTCAAAGTATGTCCTGTCTTCAGCAATAGGGTCTTACCATCAAGTTCTGGGAGGCAGTCAAGGACTATGGCAATAGCCTGTGTAATTTTGGGAGTCTCTTAGACTACCCTGGACAACAACTCAAAGGAGGGCTTTTCCTGTCTGGCATTGTTTCTTGTTATGTAGTCTCCAGTTATAGTTAAAGACTCACGTAGGGATACTGTATGTGTAATTTTTCAGTAGGTTTTTGCACTATTACAATTCCCTCTGTTTTTTGTTTTGTTTTGTTTTTTGCCTTTTTGAGACAGAGTCTCCCTGTAGCCCCAGCTGTCCCGGAAGTCTCTATGTAGACCAGGCTGGCCTCGAACTCACAAAGATCCGCCTGCCTCTGCCTCCCAAGTGCTGGGATTAAAGGCATGCGCCACCATTCCCGGCTTTGTTTTGTTTTTAATACTAGCCAGGTGCTATTTATTTCTCCTCTTTCTCTGTCTTACCCTCCCCATTTAAAGTGCCCCCATTTTCCACATTTTGCCTTTGATAGTTTCTGTCTGCTATGGTCCCACCTCTCTTGAGCTCCTTCTCCTTTATTCCCATAGTTCTTTGTATAGTCCTCCTTCTCCCCCTCCCCTTTAACTACCTCTTTTTACATATTTCTCCCTCAGTAACGCAGGTCTTCTACTATTCTCTCTCAGCTTCCTTCTTTCCATTTACAATCCTGGGTCCCTTCCATTTTCTTAGTTCCTGCAATTACATCAGGATATGAATTCACTTATAAGGATTTGGTGCTAGGATTCACAAACGAGGGAGAATGCATATCTTGTTTTTCTGAGTCTGTATTATTTCACTTAGTATAACAGTTTCTAGATCCATCCATTTACCTGAAAATTTCATTATTTCATCTTTCTTTACTGTTGAGTAGAACTCCACTGTGTAAATGTACCACATTTTCGTTAACTACTCGTCTGTTGAGGGGGAACTTAGGTTGCTTCCATCTCTTAGCTATTGTGAAAAGAGCAGCAACAAACATGATTGTACAAGTATCTACAATACGATGAGTCCTTTGCATATATGCCAAGGAGTGGTATAACTGGGTCATATGGTAGGTTCATTTATAGTTTATTAAGAGTTCTCCACATTGTTTTCCATAGAGGTTGCACGAGTTTCCAATCCCACCGGCAGTGAATGAGCAAGCATTCCCCTTTTTCTACATCCTCACCAGCATTTGGTATCATTTGTTCTCTTGATCCTAGCCAGTCTGACTTGGGTAAGATGATCTCTTAAGGTGGCTTTAATATGCATTTCCCTAATTACTAATGATGTTCAATACTTTTTTTTTTACATTTATTTATTTATTTTGTGGGGTGGGAGGTACACACACCATGGAATGGATGTGGAGGTCAGAGAAAACAGGAGTTGATTTTTTCCTTCACCCTCATGGGTCCCAGGAATGGAACCTAGGTCACCCAGGTTGGTGGCAAGCACCTTTGTCAGCTGGGCCATCTTGCTGGCCCACTCAGTATAACTTTTAGACAGTAAAAGCATTGTTTACATTTATAATTTCTTCTGGAGCCAAATTTTCTTACTTTAAATGTAAAATATGTACATTTGGCTTAAATATTCAACATCATTGGCCCAAGGTTGATCACACTCAGCTTGTTAGACCCTTATTTTTTTCTTAGTCTGATCACATGTCACCTTTCGTCCCAAAAAGTTGCTTTGTTCGTTAACTAGTTGTGCCAGTCTTTTTTTTTTTTTTTACAAAAACTTTATAGAGAATTTCATACACGTATATAAGGTGTTTTGATCAAATTCATGCCCGCTCCCCCCCTCCAACATCCCCCCCTCTGAAGAGGTAACCCTAAAATCTTCTAAGGATTAGATACAAGCTCCCAAATACTTTCGACAGTTTTGGCCTCTGGAACAGAGTATGTTGCTAACAGGCCCAAGGACATTTTGAACAAAAACTTTATAGAGAATTTCATACACGTATATAAGGTGTTTTGATCAAATTCATGCCCGCTCCCCCCCTCCAACATCCCCCCCTCTGAAGAGGTAACCCTAAAATCTTCTAAGGATTAGATACAAGCTCCCAAATACTTTCGACAGTTTTGGCCTCTGGAACAGAGTATGTTGCTAACAGGCCCAAGGACATTTTGACTTTTAGCCAAGAAACT